TCATTCGTGCTTTGAACTTGTATAGGTGTGTAAGAGGTATAGCAACACAGTATTTATACGGACATCGCTTCTCCGCTGCGACTCCACTGGCAGGGCATGAACCACCCCTTCGCGCCGCTTTGGATTGGGCCTCAACACGGCCCAATGAAACATTAGAGCTTTTGCATGGCCTTAGGGCCAGTGATTTCGGTGTTACTAGTACACCTCTTTTGACCGAAGCCCGTGTGGGCCAACCAATTGAAGCACCGAACGGACAGAACCGAACTCTGCGAACAGCGAGTTACCAGCTCCGGCCATTCGTCCTGGAAAATCTGGAGCGCTTGAGATTTCTGGGGAAACATCCAGGCGATCTTGGGGGACATAACAGCAGAACAGCTAGCAACCAATGGCAATAACAGTTGCTTCTGAGCCAGGCGTGTTGAGTTCACTAAGAGCTTCAGAGTTGAGTTAATATTGTCACCGTTTGCCCCTTGCCTTACTGATTGGCTAGTATCGTCCATGGACAAAAACCGCTGTACATCGTCAATCACGATCTAACAGAATAAACGGCTTTAGTCAGTTCTCTGGTGTTTACTATCTCCAGAATATTCCTGGAATCAATCGATTTGGTACAACTTGGACGTGGACCTCCCCCACAGAAGAAGTGCAAAGTCTTGGCAAGCTTGTTATACCTCATACGAACCTCAAGCGGTCCTCTGGGGTCTTCTTCAAACTCTGCTACAACTGCGACCAGGTTGTAGAAGGCCCCATGAAAAAGGTCACTTGGAGTTCCGCTCGGTTCTTTCACCTCTGGGTGAGGTCATTCATAGGTCAACGTTCCCATCTCCCGCGCCCCGGCCGGAGCGGACGGCCGGAGTCAGAACCAACCCAGAGTACGCCTTATTGAAAAGATTCAATAAGGTTATTGGTTTGGGTTGTCATTATTGAAATGTGATGTTTATTGAAATGTTTCAATAACTTTATTGGTTTGAAGGTCATACTTTTTATTGAATTGTACCAATAAGGCTTATTGAATGGACCAATAAGGCTTATTGAAATGTACCAATAAGAATTTGCAAGTTTCTGCTCCAATTTCAATAAGAATTTGCAGCAACTTTGCTGGAATTGGTGTGAGTAGTAGGTGCAAGTAGAAGTTCACTAGTGCACATGCTTGTAAGCGCTGCTGGCTCAAAGTGGAGTTTGGGCTTTGCAAAAGAGCTCCTTTGGTAAATTTGGGCTTTGCAAAAAAGCTCCTCTGGTGTACTTGGGCTCTGCAAAAGAGCCCCATGACCTCAACACCAGCTGTTCTCATGGACTATTTGGACATGTGCCCAGGCAGGGAGACACTTGGTCACCAAGCCCAGACACTGTTAGTGCATTAATTGCTTTTCAAAGTGCACATTCTACATCCATGTGCATTCATTTGCTGGTGCCCAAGGACATGGTTTTACAACAGCTATTTGGAGTGCCAGACATGGAGCTGTGATGGGTGGGTGTGGGCAGCCAGGCTGGATGGCACAAGTGCAATGTGGGGCCCCGCATGCTACAGGTGTGGCAAGGCTTGGAGGGATTCCTTTCTTAGCAAGGGATTTTCTTGGTGGGATCCACCCAGCCAAAGAGCTGATTGGAACCAATGGAAGAGGGGCTGAATCTGCCTCAGCTTGGGCCCTGCAAAAGGGCCCTTTGAAGTTGCCACAGTTGGAAAAAGGCAAGCTGAAATTGAAAAGCAGGTTGGTGTTGATTGGTTTGCCTGTTTACACAAAGCATTGGCTGTTTGCTGTAGGGCCAGTGTTAGGCTCAAGCTGTGACCTGCTACAAGGGCTGTTCAAGGTAGGCCTTGAAAAAGGGCTTGTGAAGTTGGCAGGAAGCTGGGACCTGGCAATGGTTTTGATGAAACCTGTGAGGAAAAGGAAAGGTGGTGGCAACTCAAAGCCATGCAAGAGAAACCCTTTCCCTTCTTTGGACCAGGAGGGCTTGACTGACAGGCT